TACAGTTTACTACCAGTAAAATTTATCAAATTTGGGACCAAAAATTATTCAGACACTTTGACCTGACCATGTTTTGCTTAAGTGTTTTTCTTTAATTGCTAATGTGACTTTTTACACCACAGACTGAACAAAGTTAAGCATTGGTTGAACTACATTGGTATTCTCTAATCAGAGTGTCTATTTACACTAAGTGCAAATAGCCTGCCTTGTTGGCAGAGGCTATTTACACTAACTCCACCCACCACTGCAAAAGACAACAGACAATGGTCAGCTTCAGAGGTGTATATGGTAAAACGCGTTCTGTAGTCTTTTTGACTCGATCGACCCGGGTTCGAATCCGCCTTTTACCAAACTTAGGTGTAGGAAGGGCTTTATTGTCCCAATAAGGTGGCATCCATTTGATAATTTGAATTAAAATGATAATTTACACTCAATACGTTTTTACTGCATACTGTTTTATAATGTTCTATAATACTGAGGTGAGTAGTATAAATAGCAGAAAATCCTGCTATTTTAACAGTGTAAATAGCATCCATCGCTATTTGCACTTAGTGTAAATAGCATCTATCTCTAAGAAAATATGCTATTTTCACTTATCTGCCTTATCTAATTGTGTACTTAAATGTAACAGCTGACAGCCATTCAATCTAACTCCTTGCATACCTTTCTATCAAAGTTATCTGACATTATCAAGATGAATTTGTTCTGACACAGTTTAACTCTGAGTCTTGTCATATTTTATTACCATTTTCTAAACAATAGCGAATAAACTGCGATAATGTGTGAAATGTTGAAGGTGTCCGAATAAATTTTGGCTTGACTATAAATCAGTTAAAAGTAAAATCGTTCAGATTCCAACGTCATCGTCCCTCTGTGCTAAAATCATAATGATAACTATAAAGTTTTTGTAATCGTTCTGTTTCTGTGAGAATATATGGTGGTCCACATTACAACTATAATTAGGAATATAATTCGTATGACTTTAAGAACGATTTTTTTTCCCAACTGATAAACGATAAAAACATTGACAGCCAATCAGAATCCACCCGAGTTCATGCATTTAAAGAGACAGACGAAATAACTGAAGTGTGCTCTTATAATATTATTATGGTGTGGGTGTTGTAGCTATCTTTTAAAGCTATCTCTTTTAAAGCCCAAAACACACTGCACGATTTCCGGCTGTCTCAGACGACAGACTGGCATTGTGAAACAATCGTGGCGATTTCTGTGATCATGGCTCCTGATCTCGTACAGTGAGAGAGGTTCGAAGATGGCCGTTGTCACGGTCTTGCGACCAAAGACATCCTACGATTCAGCATGATCATCGCTCAGTGTCTTTGCCGTTACAATCCACGTTTACTGACCAGCCAATAAAAACGTGACATGAAATCAACACGACATGGCGCTGAAACATAAAACTTAAGCTCTCATGCCATCCTCTTTTTTTCAGCACACATAAAAACTACAACTGCTAAAGTGTGATTTATCCTGCTCTTTTTGTTCACCACTAGCGCATGCTGATGACGTTTATTCTTCTATGGTAACATGCGTCGTATCGTACGAGTCTCTAGGTTTTATCATCGTAAAGTCTACACGCACGGCACACCCAAGTTTATTAGATCCATGTCGACATCCAGTGTGACATGCAATGATCTTAAAGGATTGCTAAAATCGTGCAGTGTCTCGGGCTTAAGGCGTTTTAGATTTTTATCGACTTATCATTTGGCCATTTACACCAAAATGCTAATATTACACATTAATGTTTTAATGTAATTTGCACAATAATAATGAGTTTTATTTTCCTTCAGCTAGCATCTATCTCTAAGAAAATATGCTATTTTCACTTATCTGCCTTATCTAATTGTGTACTTAAATGTAACAGCTGACAGCCATTCAATCTAACTCCTTGCATACCTTTCTATCAAAGTTATCTGACATTATCAAGATGAATTTGTTCTGACACAGTTTAACTCTGAGTCTTGTCATATTTTATTACCATTTTCTAAACAATAGCGAATAAACTGCGATAATGTGTGAAATGTTGAAGGTGTCCGAATAAATTTTGGCTTGACTATAAATCAGTTAAAAGTAAAATCGTTCAGATTCCAACGTCATCGTCCCTCTGTGCTAAAATCATAATGATAACTATAAAGTTTTTGTAATCGTTCTGTTTCTGTGAGAATATATGGTGGTCCACATTACAACTATAATTAGGAATATAATTCGTATGACTTTAAGAACGATTTTTTTTCCCAACTGATAAACGATAAAAACATTGACAGCCAATCAGAATCCACCCGAGTTCATGCATTTAAAGAGACAGACGAAATAACTGAAGTGTGCTCTTATAATATTATTATGGTGTGGGTGTTGTAGCTATCTTTTAAAGCTATCTCTTTTAAAGCCCAAAACACACTGCACGATTTCCGGCTGTCTCAGACGACAGACTGGCATTGTGAAACAATCGTGGCGATTTCTGTGATCATGGCTCCTGATCTCGTACAGTGAGAGAGGTTCGAAGATGGCTGTTGTCACGGTCTTGCGACCAAAGACATCCTACGATTCAGCATGATCATCGCTCAGTGTCTTTGCCGTTACAATCCACGTTTACTGACCAGCCAATAAAAACGTGACATGAAATCAACACGACATGGCGCTGAAACATAAAACTTAAGCTCTCATGCCATCCTCTTTTTTTCAGCACACATAAAAACTACAACTGCTAAAGTGTGATTTATCCTGCTCTTTTTGTTCACCACTAGCGCATGCTGATGACGTTTATTCTTCTATGGTAACATGCGTCGTATCGTACGAGTCTCTAGGTTTTATCATCGTAAAGTCTACACGCACGGCACACCCAAGTTTATTAGATCCATGTCGACATCCAGTGTGACATGCAATGATCTTAAAGGATTGCTAAAATCGTGCAGTGTCTCGGGCTTAAGGCGTTTTAGATTTTTATCGACTTATCATTTGGCCATTTACACCAAAATGCTAATATTACACATTAATGTTTTAATGTAATTTGCACAATAATAATGAGTTTTATTTTCCTTCAGCTTGTTCCAGAGCACATAGTCATGACTAAAGAGGAAGTGACAGAGTTGCTGGCACGGTAGTATCCTTTGAGTTTTGGTTGAAGTTTATAGCACTGTTATGTTAGTAACAATGATACCGTTATAGTTTTTATTCATATTTTCAATGTTTTTTTTTCTAATTTTAAATTGTGTTTTTTTTTTTATGATTTCAATTTTAGTTACGTTAAATGAAAATGAGAAATCTTGCCTTGGCAACTATAATTTTTTTAATATAGTTTACACAAATGAAAACGGTCACCATTTACTCACCCTCAAGTTGTTCTTAACCTGTATGAGTTTCTTTCTTCTGTTGAACACAGATGATATTTTGAAGAATTGGTAACCAAACAGTTGACTGTAACCATTGACTTGCATAGTATGGGGAAAAAAATACTATGTAAGTGAATGCCTGTGTTTATTTTAGGTAACAAATGTTTTTAATGTTTTTTGTAGTTAACTATAATAACCCTGATTTATTGGATTCAGTTGGATGGTTTACTTCAGTAGTTGGTACTTTAGATTGGTTAGTTTAGCCTTAACCAGCTGCTCTCCAGTAAACTAAAGGAAAGCCAGCTTCCCAGAATTCAAGCCGGGGATCCTGTTGCCCGTTACTTTGGCTTAAAGAGAGGCCAGGTAGGAACTCAAATGTGTATTTTCTTCTTATTTTGACATCTCTAAAAATCTTTAGTTTGAGCATTTGAGTGTTCAAGTTAACTTGTGGCATGTTCTTCAGGTTGTTAAGATCATCAGACCGAGTGAAACTGCTGGACGGTACATCACATACAGACTGGTCCAGTAATGCATATGAAGTCAGTATTTCTGTTGTAGTTCACTGGAGGATTTGTATATCAACAACAATAATTCAAATTCCAAGATGCAAATCTGTGAAGCAGTGTTATTTAAGTATCATTACTATACATGACCCTGGAGCACAAAAGCAGTCTTAAGTCGCTGGGGTATATTAGTAGCAATAGCCAAAAAAAACATTGTATGAGTCAAAATGATAGATTTTTCTTTTATGCCAAAAATCATTAGGATATTACGTAAAGATCATGTTCCATGAAGATATTTTGTAAATTTCCTACTGTAAATATCAACTTCATTTTTGATTAGTAAAATATATTCCTAAGGACTTCATTTGGACAACTTTAAAGGTGATTTTCTCACACCCTCAGATTCCAGATTTTCAAATAGTTATATCTCGGCCAAATATTGTCCTATCCTAACAAACCATACATCAATAGAAAGCTTATTTATTCACCTTTCAGATGATGTATACATCTCAATTTTTAAAAATTGACACTTAAGACTGGTTTTGTGGTCCAGTGTCACATTGTCTTTAGTACATAGTTTTGAATTAGTTTGTTTTCTTAAGGTCTAATAAGTGTTATTTTAGTGCCTTCACAAAAAATAAAAAAAAAATTTTCTTTAATTGTATTCTTTAATGTTCATATTTTTAAGGAATTAATGATATTCGTGTCATATTTTTTGACAGATTTGAAATTTTCTCCAACTGCTGAAAGTGAACATGGGCTGAATTTTGTCTTAACGTTTTTTTAACTAATAAATATGATTTTGCTATTCTGTCTCTCCTTGTGTCATTTTATTTGACAACATTAAAAATGCTGTTAGTTTGGTCCCAAATGAGCGGTGAACACAAGCCTCAAAACCTGAAAGTAAATAAAGCGCAAGCACTCACCTTTTTCTTTCTGAAAGCCATTGTTGTGATGGGGGGGAAAAAAAAGGGAAGATGACCTCGATGTGTGTGCAAATACACACGAACCAACCAAACACCGTATACAGCAACAATTCTAGTTAACTTCTTCCTCATTGCCTACCATGTTGTCTGATAACATGCACTTAAATCTGATTTGCATGTAACCATGACATTAGTTTGCATTGGCTGTAAACTAATACTGATTATTTTGAAATCACTCATTTTTTTTATTATTAAAACACATGCACAAACATATAAAATTTAACAACAGAGATATTCATCAACACTGGAGTATAAGATCATTTCATAAGATACGATGCATGATAACACCGGAAGCGTCCCGCTGTTTTTGTAAAATAAAGCTAAAAACCATTTTTAAAAATCTGTAAATTTTTGCAGGATTCTAAGCTGAAGTATTTTAAATATTGAAACGCATCTTTAAAAAAAAACAAAAAAACCCACATTGGAACGTCACAGACAAACCCTGGCTGTCTGAACTCAGAGAGTGAGTGTTGTGGTGGTGTTGTTACTCTGATTGAGATTCAACGCTGCCAGCGAGCTTGCTGGCGCTTCCTCTAACTCGGGCGGCTCGCTCTCAGGGAGGGCAGGGGGGTCACTGGTGTTGTTTGAGCTGGAGGGACACTGCAGGTTCACGAGGAGGACGGGTGGTCTCATTTGGGTTTCTTTGGTAGAGTCGAGTGCCTGCTCTGTAGGACTGGGGGGCTGAAGTTCACCTCTGGACCGTTCCTCGTCTGCTTCTGAATCCGAGTCCAGACTGTGTTCCAGAGAAGCAGGCGTTCCCGTTGAACTCTCTGCTGACACATGACAGATCATTGTATATTTTTTATTTATTATTATTTGAAAGCAAAACTGCTCATTAGAATTTGTTTTTAAATATATGAATAATTATATATAAGAAAAAAATGAGTAAGTCAAATAAATAAAACTACACCCCTACTTAAAGGAGTATAAAAATACAAAATAAATTTAAAATGTTTTAAATCAAAATAATGGTGATATATTTAAATATTTTACATTGATATGAATATATTGGTATGTACATTAAATAAAATTAACATGAAAGGTAAATGAAAAACTAAGTATTGAATACAAAATAAATGTAAAATTTCAATTAAAAAAAAAAGTTAAAATATTAAAATAAAGGTGATATTTTTGTATGATAAAAATAGGAATATAAAAGGGAAAAATAAAATGAAAAACTAAAATACAATATAAACTACAAAATGTCTAATATTTCAAAATATTAAAATAATGGTGTAATTTATTTATATATAAATATATTCATATAAAGTAATATGAATTTTAAATGCATTTAATATGAAAGGCTAATAAATAACATGAAAAACCTAAATGAGTACAAAAATGTCAAATATTTGAAATATATACACACACAATCATTTAGCAGACGCTTTTATCCAAAGCGACTTACAAATGAGGACCATGGAAGCAATCAAAATCAACAAAAGAGCAATGAAATACAAGTGCTATAACAAGTCTCACAAAATATATATATTTTATGTGTGCGTGTGTAATAAGGCAAACAAAATAAACAAAGTGAAAAACTAACTTGAGTATAAAGGTATTTCGAAATGGACAATATTTATATAAAATGTATATTAAATAAGAATAAATTGATATGAATTAATTCAAATAAAACATGAAATATATAACATTTAAAACAGTTAAAATATCAAAAGATAATAAATCTAAATATATACACAATGCATCTGAAGAATGTAAACCAATAATATTAGGAATAAAAGTCTGTAATACCATGGCCCTCTAACTTGTCTGACTCTGCAGCGCCGGGTTCATCTGCGACTCCTTGTTCATCATTCGAACAGTGTTCTTCTCCATCAATGCTGCTTTCCTGCACAGACCAAAACATCACATCTGTTCTGCATTAACGGTTTAACCAGTTAACCTCCCAATTAAAACGCACCGCTGGCACAACACGAGAGATTTGATCTACTGCGTATGAATCTCAAACCTGCTGTAGAGACTGTGTGCGGGGGGTGCTGGCGCATGCAGGCCGACTGGAGTCCGAATGGAAAACGGCGGGATAAAACACAATGAGGGTCTCCACTATGCGAGCCTGATATGGGTAATCCACCAGAGACGACAGAGACACCGTGGCCCCTGAGGGCCGGGGCCGCATCAGTGAGGGGCCAAACACGATGCCCAGATTACTCGGGCTCATCTTATTGTCATCTTCCAGTTCTGCAATCCTGAAAACAGAGGGACATTAACCAAATAATCAGTGTTTAATAAACAGAGTTTGGCAGAGTCAGTCTATAAACCCTGAAATGTGAGAGGAAGTCCATTCTAGGCTTTGCACCTTCTCAGGTGGCTCGCTATGTAGCGCAGAATGGCAGTGTTTGGTTTGGGCAGCTCTTTGAGGAGATTCTTGAGTCTGTCCACGAGGGCCAAGAGTTCAGGGTCCGTCTCAGGGCCGAGGTCCACCAGGTCGGGCCCTTTGCCCGTCTCGGCTCCCTCTGGACCCACTACAGCCAGGCTTTCCTTCGCTAGACCCATCAGACTATTGTAGAGACGGAAGGGCATGATGGGCTCTGGAAGCTGAGGAAGAGACAGAAATACAAAATAAGGATGTAACAACTAACTTTGGTGAACATAAAATGAGGATATGAAAGCCACTGCTAACAATGAAGGCAGCTTATTGTTACAGTTAAAGGATTTGTTCACCAAAAATGCAGTGTTGTAATATATTATTAAAAACTGAAAATGTAATTTTTAATATAAATATATTTATAATTTGGGTGAATGCAAAAATCCCCCAAAAATATTATTAATAATTATAATATGTATTATTAATATAACTGAAAATTAAAATAATAAAATAAAATATACATATACAAAATATGAATAAATCAGTTAAATTTGGGGAATCAAAAAATGCTAATTGTTACATTTTTATTAATAATGTAATTTTAATGTAATGGAATGCAATATATAAAAATGTAATTAATAAATTATTAATAAATCAGATAAATAATAGATATTTTTTTATTGATTGTTATTTATAGTTAACTTTATTATTTCATTTAAATTTAAATAATACATTTATTTGGGTTATTTGAGTGAACCATACAAATGCAAATTCTAATAGAACAATATATAAATTAATAAATTAGTTAGATGTAGTTAAATACAATATATACAAAATAAATTATATTATATTAATTCATTAGTTACATTTAGGTGAACCAAAAATGCAAACTGTTAAATTGTCAATTACAATATTATTTTTTTAAATTTTCATATAATATAATAGAATATAATATACAAAACCCAAAAATGCCATTTCCACAATATTATAACAGATTTTTCATAAATGTCCTGATGCAGTGGTGGCTCACCTGCCGCAGGTAAAGCTTCAGTACGTTGCTGATGTCGTGTGGCGAGGACTGTGACAGCTCCACCAGCTCTTTGCCATTCTCAAACGCCTGGCACAGCTTCTCCACCCGCGTCTTCACCCCATTCACGCGATAAATACCCTGACAGAGAGGAGGACCATCAGCACGATCCTGCATTTCCATTGGCTGAGACCTGCTGGATTTGAACGTACCTTCATTCTCAACGCTCTTCTCTCGATCTCGCCGATGCACTTCTTGATGATGAAGGGGATGCTGTCGGGACTGTTGCCGGACACCTGCGAGAAATCCTGCCCAAACAGCTGAAGGCGACCCTGGAGCTTCTTGTGGCCGCACTGAATGGCCAAAGTCTCCAAGCAGCGCTTGTGACAGGCCAGGAAACACTGCCAAGCAAATCAGACTTTAAAGGGATAGTTCACCCAAAAATTAAAATTCTGTCATTAATTACTCACCCTCATGTCGTCCCGTAAGACCTTCGTTCATCTTCAGAACACAAATTACGTATTTTTACGAAGCTACGAGAATACTTTGTGCGCAAAGAAAACAAAAATAACGACTTTATTAAATTCGTCTCCGTCGTGTCACCCTGTAGCGCCATTTTGGAGAGTAGCCTATCACATACATAAACAACGTATGCGGTTCTGTGTCAGCAGCACCGTACATGGATACGCTGTTAAACGTAAACAACGCATCCGCGTACATTCGTTGAATACGTTGTTTACATATGTGAAACTCTCCAAATATGTGACCTTGATCATGTAAGGATCCTTGCTGTCTATGGAGGGTCAGAGAGCTCTCGGAATGCATAAAAAAATATCTTAATTTGTGTTAAGAAGATGAACAAAGGTCTTACGGGTTTGGAACGACATGAGGGTGAATAATTAATAACAGAATTCTCATTTTTGGGTGAACTATCCCTTTAACAAGCCTGGCTTATTTCAAACACGAGGCCCAAGCGCAGCCGGCGTGACCTCACCTCCTCGCACTCGGCTCCCTGGAAATAAACGTAGCTGTCGCATTCTCTGCATTTGGATGGGGAGCGCAGTTTGCGCAGTTTGTGCGTCTGAGCGGCTTTCGACAGACCCACGTTCCTGAACGGCCCGGTGGGCACCACGATCTCAGGCTCGATGCCGTTTAAATCTGGAAAACGTTGAGCGGACAGTGAGAAACTGGATGACAGGCACAGATTAGAAAGGAAAACACTTGTGCACTATTTTCTCTCACTTGGCGTTTCAAAGGAAGTCACATTTGAGTCTTTCTCATCTGGGTCTTCGTTTGATGACATGGTTCCGGTCGATGATGTTCGGGCCATTTTACTTATGTCACCTAGAAAAAAAATCAATGAAATAAAAACATTTAATGCAAACTGCAAATGTAATATTTTATTTATTATTTTTTTTTATTAGTCATGGCAGGAAGTTGTACCTGTGCTGGTAGTCGGGGATCCCAGGCCACTTCCTCCTCCCACACTGTCTGTGTCGCTCACTGTGGAGCCCCAGGATTTGTGGGTCATGTGACCTCGAGCTGACACAAAAGAAATACAATTCAGAACCATTTGCGTAACTATTTCAGATATTCATAACATACCCAAAAAATCTAAACCAAACAAGCACCTTTTGAAAGCACCGAGCATCTATACATAAAAATCTTCATACACATTTGACAATTTTAATAAACAAATAATTAGCAAATACTTCTTTTTTTCTTACATTATATTTAAAAAATATATATTTATTTATTTATATATTTAATTTAGATCTACATTTGCATTAATTTATTTTTAATATAATAGAATATATTATATAACACTTAAATTAATTGATAAATTAGACAAATGAATATACAATATACAACAGTTCAAACAAAATA